CTACCAGGCGCGGAAGTCCTTCATCGAGAGGAGCCACGGGGAGCTCTTCCAGAACCGCGCCGATGCCGTGGTACGGGCCCGGGGCCCCGCCATGCGGGGGCTCACACGGGGGAGTGCCACACAGGGACACAAGCGTCCCCGGGCCTCCTGCGGAGCGGACGCGTCCCCAAAGGCTCCGCAGGCTGCGGGCGCAGCAGCCCGCCAGAGACCCGTGACCTTGTGTCGGTAGGAGCGTGACACGCGGCGCTGAGCGGGGGTTACACGTCTGATTAATCAGTCTCTCGGGAAAAGCGTCCTGGCTGCAAAGTTTAGTGTGCTGGCAAGAGATTTCGTAGAGTGCCGAACTTACCTTACACCGTGAGTTATTTTAAGACATTTAAAATTCTTCCAGCTTATCACCCCACTTCACAACAAAGAAAATTTGTGAACTTTTATAGGTGCATTGGGAGTTTGTTCTTGACTCGAAGTGTTGGTTACCGGGATTATTAGGGGGAAAAAGCCTTTAAAAATCTGCCTGATTTTACATCATTAACTATTTATTTGGCCCTCACGTGGCACCCTGCAAAGTATCGGTGCTGGCTTCACTGGGCCCTTTTACTGCCTCTCTTGTGTGTCTGCATACAGGCTAAGCTCTTACACCACAGGCACTGGAAAAGGGATTTTATTTTCTTTCATGGTATTAGCTGGAGTATTTTTAATTTCTAAGCAGCATCCGTTTATCACGTCTTTTTAAAAGGTGCTTATTGCCAAACTTTTAAGCTTCAGTTCTAAACAGCAGAGCTTTATGGTCTCTTAACAGTTAAAGCAAGTGGTCATTATTTACTTAGTATGGTTATTATTTATCAATACTCATAATAATTGAGAACTAGTTTCTAGCTCCTCCCCCCCTTTCGTTTCTGCTGCTTTCCCATACTGTCCTCAGAAAATTCTCCCTGTCCCCCCAAGATGTGTCTCATGACTGGGACTAGAAAGACCAGTCAGCGTCATAAACTGGAATTAATTCCCGTTTTCTTGTCGGTGGCTGGGTTAGATGGGAGCGGCTTTTCCTCTGAAGATGGCCACCTTGGTCCCTGGGAGTCAGGATATCATTCCCAAGAGACATCAGTCCCCTGACCTGTCGCAGACACCCCAGGATGGCAGTGGGCTGGTGGTGCTGGAGAGGAGGAGCGGGACAGTGATGTGTAACCTTTCTCCTCTTTCCCCCAGCAATCTGCGCACCGGGCTGGGCTCAGGAGTTTCATCCGCTACGGCTGGCGCTGGAGCTGGAGGGTCACTGCTTTCGTGACAGTGTTCAAGTAAGTGTTCGCCGAGGTGGTGGGGAAGAGCTGGCGTGTGCCGAGGTGTGGCAGCTTCAGAGGCTGCTGGTGACTGACTGCGGCATAAAGTGTTGTGCTAACAGTGTGAGTCTGACTGATGAGGTGTGAGCATGAAGAGGGTTTAACCTTCTGTCATTATCGCACAATTAAAATATTGCAATGAACCAAACTAAAACTGGAAAAGCCCCGTTCGTTACATCTGATCCGTGCTCTTGTTGAATTCAATACTGTTCTTTCCTCTACTTCTACTACGGCTTCTTTCTGCTTTTGCTTCATCTCCTTTTTCACGGTTTTCTCTGGGAGGGTGGTACAGTATGCCGGCTGTTTCTGGAAGAGTTTTCTATCCCATGATAATTTTTCTCCTTTTGTTGCATGTCGTTACTCCTGGTTTGCATACACAAGTGTTCTTCACAGTTCTTTGTTCTTGTCCTGAAATGTTTGCAGAGGATCATCTTGTTATCAGGCAGCCACAGGACATCAGACCCCCCAGCTGTGTGTACCTCTTCAGGCCCTCCAGTCTTCCCCCCGTATGCACAACCAGGGCAGAGACAGTGTTCCACTTCCCTGCTTTGGTCCCTCAGATGTGTCAGGGCATTTCTGTCAGTGTAGCATCAAATTAAGTAAGGCCCTTTTAATCCAGGAAGAAGCTCCTTCCCTGATGTTCAAAATGGTAAATTTATGTGTAGTCCTAAACGTGACTATATCTGCAGGTACATGTGGTTTAACTTCCCCTTCTGCTTTTAAGATGCTGGCACTGGTTTTATATCCATCTCCCAAAGTTTTTTTTAATTCTTTCTGAATTTCTTCCTCGGTCTCTCCTGATTTCTGTGGCTTCGTTTGGTTTAGTATCTGTTCTGAGATTTAGTTAGCATACCATTTGCTTTCTCTCTGAAGCTTGGAATCTCCTTAGCTTTTTCTGGGATTGGCATGTAACCTCGTCATCTTCCACCAGGTGTCTCCCCTGCAGTCAGCCCTCACCCTTTTTCACCACCCCTTCTTAAAAGGCTTTGAAAGAAAATAATCTTGCCACTCAGCCTTAACTTTCTGTAAAGTTCAGGTTGAAGATTTTGACCTGCATTTGTGCAAATTTTGGGTTTTCACAGCTTAAACCTGAATTTCTTTAGCTTGTAGAACAGCTGGGTGATGTTATAGTGCTGGGAAGGAGAGGAAGGTGGCTGTTGACTTGCAGATGTCATGCAGGAGGCTTAGCAAAGTTCTAGGGAGATTGTGGCTGCTCATCTGAGAACAGAGTGTTTTGGGGCTTAACTTATGTTTTTGGAGGAGATGGTGTACCTACCCTGGTGGAATATCTCATGCTAGAAGAGTAGGTGACCCTGCTGACATCAGAAGCGTGACTTAGAACAAGTGGTCTGGAAGGACTGTGTCAGGCAAGATCTTGCCAGTACATGGATTCAGCTTGGGGTGGAAAGGTCCTACATCAGGATTGACTGACAGGACCTTTTCATTGCTCACTTCCTTCTGTCCTTGGATATGTGATAGGGGAAAAAAAAATATCTTTGATTAAAAAAAGAAAAAGAACATCCCGGATCTAGGCTGGGAATTTTGTTGTTCTCTGGCTGTACAACTGCCTGCAGTAAAGTCACAGAAACCGAGGCACTTGTGGCTGGCACATGGTGGGCTCTGGACAGGCGGCCAACAAGGCAGTTAGAGTCACCCTGAGGGTTGGGTTAATGAATTCCAGCTTCAATTTGGGCTCTGTTTTGCTGTCTGTCTTCTTCCACATGCAACTGCTGACTTCTGTGCCTTATCTTTGCAGCGTGGTGAGCACGGGCCTGTCTGCGTACCGCAACAAAACCGCCACCAGTCATTACGCTGCGGCAGGAGGTAAGGCCGCCGCGGCCTGCTGCGCCTCTCCCTCTGTGCGCAGGGACCGTAGGCAGAAAAGCTCAAGCAGAAATTCCTATCTCGTGCATTTGTGTGGATCTCTACCTTCTGTGCTTCTTGGTTTTGCTTCCTGTTCTACCAGCTGGCTCCACTCTGTTGATTTATTGCTGTGTGTCTTTATTTCTAACAGAGAGATACTGATGCGCTTCTGAAACTGCTGGGGAGATGTGTGGTTATTGGTTCACCTTCAAAATACTTGCTGAAGTTTTTTGGGGTGAAAAACGCTTGTATAGGATAAAGGCAACACTTGGTGCATAACCTGCTCTCATAACCACATATTTAGCAGGGAAAACACTTCTCGTTTCCGCTCTTTCTGACAGTTCAGTGTGCTCTTTGTAAACTGCCCTTTTCAGGATGGATTTTGCCTCTCTGCTTTTAGCAGCAGGGTTCTGGGTAAGGGATCTGCTCCTTCAGTTTTACAGCTGTTATTGCCCCTACAGTTGGATACAGCATTTTACTGATCTTTTCTGCCCTTACGTAGCAGCTACTATTATTAGCTGTTGTTGAACAGAGGAAAAAAAGGGGGGTGGGAGGTGATCCTGCTCCAGCGTGGAGAAAGCTCGATTTTACTTTCATAGATACTTTTACTTCTTACCATTTCTTGGGGAGTTTTTCTGAAGCAGAAGGAACTTTGTGTGGTGCTTGAGTGCCGAGGCCACGGTGACTGTGTGGTGAGGGTCCTTCCGGTGGCCATGGCACTTGGAATGTCAGCTCACAGAGAGAAGGAATGCAGCAAAGCGAACTCCTTCTGTCTGTATGTGATGGCTTGGGGGGTGCTGTTCGTGGTTTTAGTGGGTTTGTGGTTTTTTTTAGGCTTCACAGGAGCCCTTTTCAGGATGCACTTGGGCCTGCAGGGACTGGCAGGTGGCTTCTTGTTTGGAACAGCATTTGGGTGAGTTGTAACTGCTGCCAGTGGGTGATCGAGACACCGCTGCTCTTTACGGGTATTTGTTAGATGGTGGCCAAACACACCAACCCTCGAGTCACTGGTGGGGCCACAGAAGCTTCGCTTTCTCTTTTGCCTTGAGGGATTTGCTGTATTTTTGGAACCTCTCATCATGATGACTTTTCTTCCAAACTTTTAAACTGTTTTTTTTTTTGTTTGTTTGTTTGTTTGTTTTCTGTTTTTCTTGATTTGTATCTTCCTGTTTCCTAAGTGATAAGAACTCAACACACACTCTCAACAGAGCATCTTTCTTGCTGCTACTTGCTTATTAGAGGAGACACTAACTACTGTTAAATAGGAAACTATGATGGCAGGTTATAGACATGTCTCTCTTCCTTGGCATGATCACTGATGGGCCCAATGGTTGTGCACAGAACCACTGAACATCTGTTTTAAGGAACTGTGGTGACTGTGAGTAAAGGCAGGAGTGTAAGACAGTTCCTGGGCTTCCTTCTCAACTGCATGAGCAACTGCTCCTGTAGCAGCTCAGAATCCAGATGGTGCACAAGGGGTGTTGCGTATCATGATATGACGCCTTTTGAAAAAGGGGCCATCTTGGGAACTGCCAGCCCTTAGGTTAGGAGCCTACATAAAAACTATTTTTTACAGAATAGGCTCTATCAAAGGCAAAATGTGGAGCAGCAGCCATGAGGGAAATGCTGAGGAAGAAGCTGTGTGGTTGGGTAGCACAACCCACAGCTGTAAGATGGCACATCTCCTTGCATATATCATGCAGTCGTGTATCTCATAAAGCACCCTGGGGCATGGAGGAACCCATGGCTCTCTCTCAGGGGTTCTGTCCGTCAGGACAGTGACCTCTTAAGTCAGCAGAAGTCTTGACTTTTCAGGCAGAACTGGGGTCTCTCCTCAAAGTCCTGCCTTGTCAATGTCCTCACAAGTGGATGCGGGCATCACACCTGGTCAAGAGAATGAGCTTTATATGTGCTACTTTGCACCACCAGGATGGTTTCCATGCTTGGAAGCAGCCTAGGGAGCTTTACCTCTGAAAACACAAGTACCTCCAGAGCTAGGCAGAGGCTAAGCAAGGGTGTGTCTGTCTAAATTATGGGTAAGATGTTCTATGGACATTGTTCAGACTAACTTAAATCCACCCCTTGGCCCTGTGAGTGTCTGTCAATGAGCATATTAAAAATACGCTACCGAAGGGGCTACAGCGAGTCATAGCTGACGAGAGGCTGTGTTTGGTGGCTGACAGTTAGGAGTGCCTCAGTTTGTGGCGTGACGCGGGTATTGGGGAACGTTACGCTCCGCAGATCTGGTGGCTGGCCCCTGGATGCTCCTTTTGCCAGTGCTGCTAAGTTCTTGATGTTGTGTCCCCCCTGGGTGACCTGTGACTTTTCTACTTCTCCTTTAGGATCCCTGCAGGGGGCCTCTTAATGGTAATGCAGAAGCTTGCGGGTGAGACCTTGCAGGAGAAGAGGAACCGTGAGCGCCAGGAGCTGTACGAAGAGAAGCTGGCAGAGTGGTAAGGAACAGCTCTGCCTCTCGGAGCCTTTGACGGGCAGCGTGTCGAGCTCTGCGTGGCTCGAGCATGTAAAGAAACCGTGACACACCAGGTTTTCTAAACCTCGGTTCTTCTGCTTTTGGTTTTTGTTGTGCTTCACATACCAGTCTGAGAACTGAGGATTTAGTCTTCTCAGCTTTAGATGTTGCTGCTTATTTTGTAACAAGGTGTTTTGTACAAAATTCATGTCCCGCCCTGGCCCAGTAACTGCCTCAGTTTTTCATATTTGCGAAGCCAAGAAGACAAGTAGGACAAAATTTATTTACCAGAATTGAGAGAGGCCAGAACTATGGCTTTTCCTTCATTGCTGCCTTCTTTCCATTGTCGGTAAAGAGAGGAAAGAAGAAGGGTAACTGTGGGGAAAACAGGTGATGACGTTGGTTGCGTGACTTACTAATTCACAAGAAGTGCCAGCTCTGCAAGGAACTTTTCAAGAGTTGGGATTCTGCAGCGATGCCTTTGTCAGGAGGATGCAGGATGCATAGAATGACACTTTGTGCTCTCTCTCTCTCCTGTCATTAGGCAATCCAGGCTCAGTGTGACTGAAGTCTTAGGCCAAACAGAAAGCGACGCCCTGGGAGGAGCAGAGATGGAGAGTGCAAGAGATTCTAGGATGTGCTGAGTCTTCTCCAGATCTCTGCTGTAAGCAGCGACAAAATATTTTGATTCTGCTCATCAAAATCTTTAGTCAAGGGGGCATGGAAGTCTTTGTGAGTGCAGTTACATCCCCTGCGCTTGTTTTGCTGAAAACATTGAAAGCGTTTTGCTGAAAACATTGTTCATGGATACGTATCACTGCACAAGAGCTTGGAAAGGACAAATCTGTTCCTCAGAAGCTGGAAATGTAGACTCAGCAGACGAGAAAGCATCATCTAGGTTTGGCAAGGTGTGAGGGCAGCCCCGCAGCCTTATCTAGAACCCATTTCACCGCTGGAAATGTCCAAATGACCAGCAATGTAGAAATACCTTCAGGTAAAGGAGCCTGTGAATAATTTGGATGCTAAAAGTACACTGATGCCAAAAGCTAATTATGCTTGGGTGAAAGCTACTCCTCACACAGTGCCGGAAGAACTTGCTGTCAAAGGCAGCACCAGAGCAAGCAGCTCTCCTACAGCTTGACTTGGCCTGGCTGAGACCAGTGCTGTTTTACTGATGGTAGTGTCTTCAGACCTTTTGCAGAAAACCACACTTTGTTCCTACAGAACTTGAGGTGTTTTTGCAGTCCATGTTGAGGAAGGGTGGAGGAGCTGGGAATGATGGGGAAATACCCTGAAAAAGGCATATTTTGGGTTCCTCAACAGAAGGAAGGCTGAAGGGGCCACAGAAAGGATGCCTTGTTTCTGGGGGTGATGATGGAAGAATGGGCACAGTGGACAGTTTTAACGCCAATAAGAAGGCCTCTACTTTAATTTGAAGGTTGGAAATTAGGGGATTATCTCTGGGTGAAATGTGGTTCAAGACACTGAATAAAGCCATCTAGCAGTGGTGATTGTGTCCATCAGCTCTGTACGTTAGTACAGTATTTCCATTAGAGGAACATACTTGGGTGGTATCCCGTGGGAAGAGCTCTGTGTGAGATCCAGGCGGCAAGGCAAGCAGCAGAGCCTGGGGGTGGCGTCCCGCGCTCCCGTCCGGGCAGGGACAGCGGCAGCAGCCGGGAGAGTGCCAGCGCCCGTCAGTTTGTTCTGTACCAGACATCAGCCCTTAGGTCACCGCTGTTAACCTGCAGGTAGGGCTGAAGTTAACGTAAGAATGGTCTGTACCCGGACGGGCCAGGTGGCCCATCACCCTTTCCCTCAAAGCAGAACTTCAGAATTATGATCCCTCTTTCTTTGTTGGAGTTTTTCTCTCCTATTAAAGGGGATTGCACCCAGGCAGGGGGTTTGGGTCTGGTTCCCACAAGAAAAGGGTGGTCAATTCGTTCTGGTTGAATGCTTTGCTCTGTTACAGCTGATTAGTGTTGATTGAAATATGAACAGTCGATTCCATGGAGCATATTCCACCTACCCAAAGCAGATTTTTAGCACAACTTGCTTTGAAGAAGGCGTTTTGTTTTCTGACTCCTGATATGAGCTTTTTGGTTTTTAAACACCTCAGTGCAGTTCATTTTTCCATTGAAAAACCTGTGTTTTTGGGGGTGTCATCAATCACCATTGATCTTCCTTTTCGGTGTCTAAGTGAAAGACCTGAATAAGCAGTATGGGTATGCCACTCCCCCTTCCTGTTTTAAGCTCTGCATGCATTAGTGACATAAGTGCTATTGTCATCTGCCCCCTCAAAAAACAAAGTAGCAGGCCTTTCTGAGTCACATTTTTGCCACTGTGGTTACACAGATATTTCTTTTTTTTGCTGTTACATTCCCACCCAATATCCCACGCTCTTAGGTGTACAGCAGATCTGATGACATTCAGCTGTGTCATTGCTCACTCTTTCTCTGTTCCTGCTTAGTGGTACTTGATAGGCTGTTTCAAGAATATTAATTTTCTTGAGTCCTGCCTTTGATTGACCATGGAACTTCTTCCAGGGGAGAGTAGGCAGAGCCAAGGTGTAGCAGTGGTGTGGATTTTCTTTCCATGTCAGGAAGGAGGAGCTGCTAGGTGTCCTTAGGCTCCACATTAGCAAGGGGAAGCAGAGACCTCCACCTACACTCAACATCCGCTGCCATTTTTTGCTCCGTTTCCTGCAGCACTTCCTCATTTCTTGTATTCAAAGTCAGTGTCCAAAGTGACAGTGAAGAGTTGGTTCAGAACTTGTTTTTTTAAATATAAACATAAGGGATTGTTCACACCCTCTCCTCAGCCCTGCCCCTCCCCAGCAAAGCACAGCACTGAAGTTACTGGTCCTCCGCTCTCTGAGGAGGTGACCCAAGCAGCACGGATCCAGTGAGAACATCTGACACTGGGGCTTGCGTTTGCAGAGGACCTCCCTTTTTGGGAGGGAGGGAGAAAGAAGACCTGTTGCAAACTGAGTGGCAAGCACTGTAGCTACGCTGCTCGCTTAACCCCTGACAAATTCATAGATCTGAGGTAGGTGGAATTACAAGCCAGGCACCCAAGTTGTCCCTGCTGTTGCACACACCAAACAGAGCTGTGTGTTGATGCCAGCTTTGGTACCAGCTGCATCACCTACCCCACGCTACACAGTATCTGTTTTTAGCAGTTGTGAAATGGGGGCTGAGGCCCATGTGAATTAATTGACAGGCTTTACCACTCCCTGCACATAGAACAGACAACTTCTATTACCGAGGAAAGGAAACTGTTTACCATTTATTTTTTTAATACAATTAAAGGGGGAACTCCGGGGAAAAAATGTTATATACAAAATACCTGTGATAACAGCAGCTCACCTGGTACAAAGACCCAGATATTAAGCTGGAAAGGTCTCACAGAAACCATTTGTGTGCAATTCACTGACTACAGCATAAGGCAATAGAAAACACGATTCACTGTATAACTGCTTAAGGAAAAGCTAAACCAAATATCCTGTCCATTGAGAATATAAAAACAGACTGATGCTAGACATATTTGTCAGTGAAGAAGGCATTACTTAGAATGTCACAGGAGTCTGTGGTGATGTAGAAAGGTTTGGCACAGTGCAAAAGACAAACTCTTCTGAAGGAGGCTGTGCAGTTGTCAGCCACGAGCAGAAGCAGAGCCCAGGATAGCTGGAGGGAGAACATGGTGCCAGTGTGACTGTCAGAGCTGTGCTGAAGTCAGTAAGGTGGAAACACACTGTGGTGATAACAGGGAAGGAATCACCATGTTGAAAAAGAGCAGAGTAAATGCAGAGTGTTCTGCCTGCAAGAAGCAAGTAGTTTGTGCTGGAAAGAATAAGCACAGATGGGAAGAAAAGAGAACTTGAAAAGTATGAGACACCATTGCCTGTACACCATGTCCTGCAGTAAGGTCAGGTTGCCTTCTGGAAACACTGTTTTCTGCATCACCTGTGTTCTGCCTGAAACCAGAATGCACAAGAGCAAAGAGTACTAGTTTCTTACCTCCCACCTCATCCCCTTTTCTCTGTCACAACACCCTCCACAAGAATGTTCTGAAGCTCCCATTTCACTTTATACAGTGGGAAAGCAGTAGAAAAGCTGATGGGGCAGCATGACTATAGGAGCAGAAAGGGAGCAGTATCTTACATTTACTAGTGACTTGATCCCTTAGTCTCTCATAGCTTGATCCTCTAGCAACCACTTCTAGTCTTCCTATTTTCTCCACAAATTTCTCTCTCGGTGTGTACCTACTAGAGAAAAGTGGAATGGACGGAATATTTATCTGTGTCCTAGCAAGATAAACAGCTCGAGCAACAAAACATCCCACAAAGAGCATGGCATGGTGCTGCTTTCACTTTGGTCTGCCCTGCTGACTACATACACAGGTAGAACCGTAGGGGAATGGGTACAGCTTGCAGTGGGGAAGAGCAAAAGGGAGAAAACAAACCTGTCAAACTCAGGGCAGGGCTGAGTTAGGTTAGTATGCAGAGTTGCTTAGGAAAGTTGTTGAGGTTTGGGGCTTTTTCCTCTTTAACCCTCAAAATGAGAAACCACTTTTTCCTACACAGTAGGCAAGAATATCACCCAAATCAAATGAGCCTATCCAATGTTAGCATTGTGTAGGGACCTTCCTTTAAGTCCTGGCTGGGTAGAGAGAATGGTGGCATAAAGCAGCTGAGTGTTACGGAAGTTTACACGCAGCTTTACAAACGCAGGTAGGAAGGAATGCAAGGTAGAAGCTCATACACATGCATGCGCAGAGGTGTGCTCACACACACCACCACCACCATCACCACCAGCAGGCTGAGCTGTGCCAGATGTGCTCCTGTGTCTCTGAGTAATGTAAAGGAGGAGCTATAACTTGTTGTGAGGTCGTCCTTTCAGGAGAGAAAGGTTACGAGAACTTCTGCTGCTGCTGTAGATGAGCAATACCACCTAGCTGTTAGGTGTGCCATCAGTACCCTAGTAAGTCTCACAGCACTGAAAATCAACATGAGGCATACAGTCCCATCTCAAGGTGCTTTCTGATGAAAAGCGTGTGCATTATTGTCTCTTCAAGGGGCGAAGAGACATGTATCTCTAATAATCAAGTTCAAAATTCTCCAGCACAAAGAACCATACTGGCAGATACCCGTACAAGGCTGAGTATAAAAAGTTTCAGCTGCTCCCAGTCGCAACAAGGAGGCATAGCCTGACTTGAGATTGTGTGTCAGGGTCTGGGGTCTCTCCAAGGCCAGCTCTGTGTTACTGAAGGGGTAGGTGGGCATGGGCTACCTGCTAGAGCTCTGCAGGCTGCCTGATCTTCATAGAGGCAGCATCAAAGCCGGAAGATCCTGAACACTGGAACTGGTGTGTCGACACTGACGAACAGGAACACAGGGGGTCCCCCCCTAGGTGGAATTCTGCTTGACTCTGTTGGAACGAGACCACCCATCAGTTTCTGTGGCGTAAGTGGGGTTTTGTATTCATTCACACAAGATTATGTTGTCAGTCTTCTTGAGAAGTTTTTTGTTGCTGTCATCCCCCTTCAGAGAGCCAAAGGGTCAACGCAATAAGCATTGCTGTACAACAAACAGCGGCGACTGCAGTGCGGAGTACACAGGATAAGAAACCTGAGGGACACAAAGAAAAGATTTTACTGATTTTTGCCCCAGAACCGACAAATGGGGATCACCTGCGGTAGGTCTCCACAAGAGGGCTCCTGTTACAGTGAAGAGAGCTGCTCGGAGCTAGACAGCTCAAGGCAGACGCTACAGTGAGCTATACACTGGCTCAGGTTGTACCGTGAAAACCTCTGGACCGTACAGAGGTGCTATCCCTCTGCAAATTGAGGACAGCTAATGAAAGTGCCACCTCACTTGAGCAGCAATAGGACGTGGCTCAGGGCATGGCACAGTTACAAGATGACAGCCACTAAGGAAGGGCAGCTGTCCGCAGACAGCAGCTGTTCCAGGCGCGGGAGCTGGGAAACGCCAGCCACTTAAGAAAAGCCTGGCAAACTCTTGTAAGAGGAATGTGGCAGAATGGATTTATTCAGCTGGTGAACCCCCGCCACTCCCATCACAAAACCCCCCAGAATTCATGCTAACCAAGGATCTAGTATCTGTTCCAGATAGGGCCTTCCCCAGAGGAAAACATGAGTGGGAGGTCAGGTTTGGAAATGAGACAAGTGGCCTGAGTGATAGTTTCCCCATCTTTTAATCTCAAAAAAGTTAAGCTTTTAGATTACTGCAACCCACAGCATGACAGATTCATGACTTCTAGGACTCTACAGATGTTACTCTAAGGCACTGCAGCGGCAAAACAGCATGCTGTCATCAGAGCAGAAAATGCAGTCACCTGGATAATGAAGAACAGTTAGCTGCTAATCTCTTAAGTCTCTTGACTTGAAAATGTCTTTTTGGAGGACACAGCCCTGAACACAGTTGAGCTTTTAAGCCAAAATGAGTATAATGCTTCATAGTCATAATACGTTGGTAAGCCCCAACCCGTCCTTCACAACACCTTGATATCAAAAGTAACACCTTTAAAGCACAGGTGTTTCCTGGGCAAGCCTTAGAAGGGGAACTGTTCCCTCTCCATTCCTCCAGCTGCTGAAGGAAATGGAAATATTTTGTAAGTGGACTGGCACTGCTAGTCCTGCTGGGAAAGCTGCAGTTGTTCTCTTGTTCACCTCTCCCCCACCACCATCTGGTCAGTCTTTCATTTCTGTCATCAGTGATGTTCCCATGTTCATGCATAAGATCAGGAACATGGCTCAGAGGGCAATGGCCAGAAATAACCTCTAAGTGATGAAGCCACATGTGGGACCTGTAGTAGTGGTGAGCTACTCGCAAATGCATCCAACAGGACAGGAACCAAAAGACTGCTCAGTTCTTAGCTGAGAAGCCTGTAAAATGAGCACAGGGGCAGAGGCAGGGGATGTCACTGCAGATCCTGATAGATGGGTGGCTGTGCTACAAACCCACTTTTTGGGCATTTAGCAGCTTCCTTACACAGGTTCAGGGGCGACACTGACAGTCAAGGCTGTCAAATGTTCCTTTTCTTTCATATTTCTCTCTCTCTCTTCATCTCCATTTAGTCTCTAAAATGTTATGTTACTTATAGAAATGAATGCTATCCATGCAAAGCCCATTCTGTGAAGAAAGCAGCTTAGCAGCCCAGGAAATTCAATCCTCTAACATTTTTCACTAGGTTCATTTCTAGAAATTTGCAATAACCCCAACAAAGCAATGCCTCACAAGCAACATAAGCATCATTCTTTCAGTTACCTGGCCAGGAAACACCACGTGCCTGAGCTGGCAATAGGGCCCTCTGCTTCTGACCACTTGCTCAGCATAGAAGGATAGTATTATTAATGGGCAAACCTACAGCCAGATTCCTTCCTCTGACCTTAAATCACACACAAATGAACCAAGGTGCCAGACCACTGGAGGGAGGAATAAACTAACACACTCACTCACTGCATACAATGTGCAGAAGGGAACAAGATGGCCATGGATACAAGCCATGGTAGATGGAACCAGCCAGGCAAGGAGTCCAATTATGTAGAGGTTTCCCAAAGAGAGACTCATCTTTCTCCCCGCAGCCCTGGGAACTCCAATTGCTACGTACAGCCGGGGAGCCTTTCCAACAACCAGAACCCCCACACAGCTCATGCACTGTGTAAATAAACCTCCCAGCCCCATGGCAAGCAGAGTCAGGTCTTATAGAGGTGGCTTCTTGCCCTGCCAAGTTAATATGGAAGGTGGGGGCACCTGGTGGTGATCTCCTCATGAGTTCCCACCCAAGGCTGGCCAGACCTTGGGTGAAAACCAGTCAGAAGGGTTCTTCTTGCCTGGTTGTGGACATCATCCATATGTCAACCCTCATTCAGGGCTGGGGGTTTAACCCCAGCACTTCAGGACCTACCAGTTTGATTTATTTAGGACAGCACACAGCCATATTAAATTTAAGCCATAAGTGCTTTTGTGAGCCAAGATTGCCCAAGAATCTAGTAGTATTTGAGAAGGTGTTTTGCCAAGAGAACAATAGTGAAGAAAATTACCTGCAAATGCTATCTGGTCATAGAGATGATGTTTCAGATGTCACTTTAGAGCTCATAGGTGGCTTCATACATTCTTTCATACCCTCTTCCCCTGAATCCTGAGGCTTACAACAGTGAGAACAGACTGAAAAAGAAGATCTCTCGTTAGTATTTGAAATTCCAGAAGACATAAAAGTGCTGAATCCAAATGTCTTCTTCCACAAAGAGAGAAGAAAGGAGTGAAGAAATTAAAGATAAATAAATCTTTTAGGTCTAGTTATCCTATTTTTCCTTGGCAGGACTCATGCCTGCAGTGCATCTGAATATGGCTGGCCCATAGCCATAGTCTGACTTGATAGAAAGCTCTGTTATATGTAAAGGTTATCTATATAGTTCATATAGATAAAACAGTTCTCATTAGCACAGGGCTAGGACCTCAGCCTGGCACAAAGACGGGTTGCTACCCGCTAAGGTCATAAGGGAAATAACAATTATATGACTTGACAATAATTATGAAGTGGTAAGGTCATAAGGGAAATAATGGTAAAAGTTACACATCACTAAATGCAGTTTACCAATCAAGTGAAAGAATGCCAGTGTTAGAGCCAGCCAACTAACACTTCCAGTGCTTGAAATGAAGTTCAGATTAACCAGAGCCCCTTAGTATCTCCGTAGCTATGAATTACTTTTGTTTTAGTCATTGAAGTTGAATCTCCCTGTACTATTACAGCAAATTGTACTTGCACAAATCTTACAATGTGGATCCTAAACTCTTAAGTGACCTCTAATCTTGGGGGTTTGTGTTAAATTAATGAAAGAACCAAAAAGAAAAAAAGATTTAGAGTTCCATTCTTAAATTACTGCAAAGATAGGCTTTGAGCTCCTCAAAGCAGGGGCTTGTGAACCTCAACAAAGCATTTACATGTTTTGGTCATCACCACAATCACACATCTGAGAACTCTTATTTCTGTTTTGTTCTTTCTATTCTTTCCTCCCACACTTCAGCTCTTTGAGGCATGGCTTCTTCAGCTCCGAAACCACTCTTAGCATCCAGTCAGCTCCAGACTTAGCTTTCCATATGTAAGAGCAACAGAGGCCCTCTCAGACCTATTCTGAGCTCCCGCAGTAGCTCTTGAAATGCAACTTGTACCAACACCAGCAGGAAACGCTCTTCAGACAGGTATTTTTCTTCCCAGACAGGTGGCAACGCACAGCGCCACTGAAATGTGACAACTGTGCAAACTGATAAGTTGGACTGAAGCTCTAGCTTCAGATTCTTGCAGTATATGCCTGGTCTGGAAAGTGGCTGGACAGCAAAACACCACCTGATTCGGCAAATCTACTCCCTGTGCATATTAGGGAAATGGGACTGAAAGGGAAATTCTAGTTTATGCAGCCATGTCCCATGCTCTTGCAGTTGGTCACATTCTATCATATTGATACACTTTTTACAATTACTTTAAAAGTAATTTGGTTTAAAAGGCTATCTCAGAATGCTCCAGAATCTTACTAATTTAATGGCAAGGAAGTTCATTATGCACACAGCTAACAGCACTCCCTGTGATCAGCTGTGATTTTCTTGATTTCAGCCTGCTTGCTGCTTTCCCATTGACACAGCCCCAGGGAACAGGAGGGGAGAGCCAGCGCTCGGGTCATAGGGGCACATGAACGGAACATGAGGAGGTGTGCAGGTGTGGCCGAGAGTCATTGCCTTCCAGAAGCTTCCTTTCTTTGTGGTAAAACACCAAACAGAAAATTAGCCCTGCCTGACTCAGTGGTCACACTGGTTTTTGAAGGGATGTGGTTGGCGAGGCACAGAAAAGAAAAATAGTAATTCTACCTTCTGACTTCTGGCTTGGGAGTGGACTTGTCTGAAGTTGAAATAGAGGCAGCAGAAGACACAAGCACAACAAACTTACAAGTATCCCTAAGTGAACCAAGTCCCTGCTGCCTGGCAAAGCACCTCTTTCCAGTGGGGGATACCACTGTGGTCGTGATGAGCTAAGACACTCAGACTGGCGCCTTCTGGTTTAAGTAGTCTGAACAGAGCACGCTCAGCGTGGAAATCTTGTCTCCAGACTTCACTTCCCCAGTGACCTGACAGAACTTGATTGTGTGATATTTATAGCATGTTGCAAAGCCTGCTGTGTTTCTCCAGGACTACTTTTCAAAGCTACTAACAGGATGTGGATAGGACAGCAACTGCTGTTGCCTTTCAATACTGGCTGGATGCCTAGCTGCCTTTATAAGTCCATTAGATGTCTACCCACATCTTAAGGGCCTTCCTGGCCAGGTCAGCTTAGACATGATTAGGAGCAACAGCTAGCAGATGAGACTTTGAGTCACAAAAAGAATAAAAATCTACTCAGCTGCCACCTAACTGTGAGATGCTTGAGATCCCCTTTGCCACTGAAAAACTCCTGGAGACATGTCTGGAGTTACCGAAGACGTTGTAAGGTGGGACGGGGCACCTCACCTGCGCGGTTTTGGCCACACAGAGGACAGCTCCAGCTCTCCCGGCTGGGGCTCTCCCACGTGCGGGACAGCTATGCTGTCTGCGGCCCTAGCACTATGTACGTCCGTAACTTCGCCTCTGAGACTTTTCCGAGGGATTGTCTAAGTGTACAGAGAGATCTCATTTTGAAACTGTCAGTGCTCAGCTGTATCTGTGATGATCACCAAGAGTCTTGGCATCTTCAAGCATCTTAACACATAAACCCAGACCTTTATGAATCTCTTCAATTCCGAGTAAGATTTTGGAAATACTTTGAACTGCTGTCAAAACTCCTCATCACCCCTTCACCCTCGAACTTGAACCCTAGTGCAGCTTGCACACAAAATGTAGGAAAGTCCTGAGCTGAACTTAGATTTTGTGATAGTAGATGCTGCACCAAAAAAAAAAAAGGAAATGAGAAGGTACAAAAATACCTAGTGTGTCAGTATAGTTTCTATAAATGCATATTTTACACAGAAATACCATAAGCCATAAGAGATCATTTCTTGAAAAAGGAGCTATACTTACCATGCCTTGGGAGGTATCTTGCTGCTAGGGTGACAGCCAAAAGGAAGATAATAATGATGATACTTGAAGCAGTAATGACATTATAAGACGGAGGCACAGTAGGGACAGCACAGTTTTTTGCTTTTTCTGAGACAGAAGAAATAAAACATAAATAAAGGATCCAACAACATATTGGCATCTTCATGTAAGATCAGATACGTGACTTTTGGTGGTTCGGGCCAAATTATAATTCAGATATTCAGCCTGAAAATTTGCCTATTCAATAAACAAGCAGACAAAGCTGACACCTAAATTTCTTCCACTACCTCACATTTGCTATGTGCTGAAATTTTTAACACCTTCACAGAATCTGAAATGATGGATCTTTGTCCAGAATAGAACTGAGACCTGCAGTATTTAAAACACATAAGCTGTTTTTAAATAAAATGGTTAGGCTTGGTGGAAACATCTGACTCCATATCTAGAGAACTTCCATTCTCAAAAGTACTCTGCAGTTTTGTTTTTTTTTTACTGTTTTCACCAGATTTATGTCTAATTTTTTCCACTGTGAATTCACAGGTGATGGAGAATGATGCTTTAAAGAGACTAGAATAGACTTCATTCTGCATGGCAAGAAAAGAACGCTGTGGCAGAGTTCAGCTTGAGTGGACCTGGAGCCTTTGGCTTTTCACCACTGTAGATGACCATTCTGCCACTGGGACATTAGAGTAGATAACAGGCCGTTCTTGTATGTTACAGGACAACCCTAATTGAACAGGAGGGACAGACTTGGTGCATGTTCATAGGTCCTCAGATTTTCATCATTGGCACCTGGCACAATTAAGCATTATTCAACTTCTAAGACACGAGCCTGATCCACTGTACAGTGCTCCCCTCTACTGTAGGGTTTGCCTCTTATGTTTCCCAGAGGCTGTATTCAGTCTGGAACTTTGTGTTCATGAAAGACATGTTTGGAGGACCATTTCCATCATACCGAAATGGGAGTGGTTCTACATCTGAAAAAATCAAAAAGTGGGGGTTTTGTGACTGCTGTTGTCACTATTGATTGCACCCTCCTCTGAGAATCTGTGTATCTCACCACCTTCATCACTGTGAAGGTGGTGAGACACTGGAACAGGTTGGACAGGGAAGTTGTGGATGTTCCAACACTGGCTATGTTCAAGACCAGGTTGGAGAGGGCGTTGTGGAACCTGGTCTAGTGGGAGGTGTCCCTGCCCTCAGCAGGGGAGTTTGAACTAGGTGATCTTTAAGGTCCCTTCCAACCCAAACCATTCTATGATTCAATTCTATGCGTCTATGATAACAGTGTATTATTATTATAACTTTTTTCCCTTTCCTTTTCTACGTAGTATGATACTCATAACCTTCTTCCATTACCATCTCCAGAGATATTATGCACCACATCCAGCAATAACGAATATTCATAAAGCACTAGTTTCTGGCACTCGTCCTGAAGCTGAATGGCATCTCTCCTCATGAGCCCCTTTGATTTAAGTAAGACTGACGAATAAGGTACCTTGATGAATAAAGGTACAGTTCCCTAGGAAAAGGGAACCTAGCTCCCCTTGAAGGTGCCCTTATCTCTACAGTGAAAACATCAGATCCAGAGACATTTCAGAATACTTTTTTGGTAACAACATTGAAAAAACTAAAAATCTTTTTGGCTTTAAGAATTTTCCTGCATAGCCCCTTCTACTGCAGAACATCTGGGCTGCAGTGTGCTGCCTTCCCTCATGCTGTGCCTTCCCCACCTGTGCCCTACGCTTTTCAAAGCCCAGACCTATCTATTACATTATCACTTTTAAGCCATGCACAGTGATGGCATTTTTTTTTGTATGAGTTAACCTCATATTAAATATGTGCATGAAAGCAAAATTTTGTCTAGACCTCAGGTGACAGTTTCTGTCACTGAAGCAGGAACAAACATACTTGCTAAATGAGGCAATTCTTTTTAAGTGCAACTTGTGGCTGTCCAGGCACACACATTTCTCAAGTCCCCCATTTGAATACCATGTCTGTGCCAAACAACTGGCAGCAAGACTGTGCTGGTACAGAGGGGCACTGGATGGTGGCAGCCTCAACCTGTGTGAGCCACCGAGGCTAACGTCACCAGGTCACAACTGGATCCAGTTGCCCTCTCAGCCCAGCTGTGAGTCACGGTAGAGCAGCAGGAAGATAGAGCTATCTCTCTCTCCTTGTAAGTCACTGTTGTAACTCTTCTTCCAAACCTGCTGTCTCACAGTGTTTGAAAAATTTCAGTGTGCAGTCCACAGATGGGATCACTGGGTCATCCTTGCATGACCAGATACAAAAAAATCTACTGCTTTCTCAGAGAGACGATTCAATGGATTCAGCAAAATGTTTGTAACACAAACTATGAATAAAACCTACTCAGAAGCAAACTGGTGGACTTGGCAAAGCCATTATATTCAACGGAGCAAGTGAAGCTGATGTCTTCAGTCACATTGACCCATGCTTTGGCGGTGACGTTGTACAGGCTGAGACTGGACTTGGACACCAAGCTGTTATTCCACACAATGGGCTCGTTGTTGAGGGCTCCAGAGATTTTGGGTTTGGGGAAACCTCCATGAGAAGAACATCTCACCACCATCTCAGTTGATTCACAAGAATTAGTGGATACTTCCGTTGTTATATTCGGATTACTGAAGTCAGCTGAAGCAAGAAAGATTTAGTTACCATTGTGTCAAAGTACAGAGAGTGCTGCAGACCTGATTTGACCATGGCCAAAACAAAGACTCCCCCACAGGGCATTCTTTATCATAATCTGTTTGGCCTTTCTCCTGCCTTAATATTCTCCCCATAGTCCTGACTGGATATGGCCTTAGTCTCTGGTTCTTCTTCTCCCTGGGCAGTGCACAGACTTCATGACCCTATCTCTTCAAAGCTGCTGTTTGTCTCTATGTACAGCAGTTTGTGGAACAACAGAAGGAATCATAAAACAGGTTGGAAAAATACGTGACTGACTAAAAATCCCTATTACAGGCAATGGTAGACAATTAAGTTTTTGCCTCACTCAGTTGTCCTTTCCTAGCCAGAAGCTCACGGAGGGTCCATCTCTGCTGGGAAAGGAGGGAAGTCACATGTTGGTCTTTCAGGCAGGAGATCCATCAGGTGGCTGAGTTACACATTCTGCAAGACAGCCCCTGCAGAAGGCCCAGCTGAGAGCAAGACAGTCACGCTAGTCATTGCAAAAATGCATAGCAATGCACAGGTCCTCTCAGACCATGGAGACTTCTCACTAGACTTTTTTTTTTCTCATTGCCAAATACAGTTCTCAGAGGTTTCCCACCTACAGAGATTGTTCCATGCCTCCCCACCTGATCAGATGCATTGCTGTGGGGCTGCATGGAGAAATGGATAAGAGGATTAATATGGGTGAAAAAGGAAGAGAAGAAAGGTGGTGTCCTTTTCTGCCTGCTTACCTTTGCCAATATGGTTCACTGTCTTACTGTTAACAGTTGCATTGGCACAACTGGGGATGCCCACAGGTTGCAATAAACAGCCCAGGGTAAGGAGGAGGAGGCAAGAGGTGGAAAAGGAACTATTTAAGGCAACTCTCCCACTGGAAATATCTCTGTGGGATCACATCTTTAGCAAGAGAGGCACCAGTCAGGAAAAGAATTCAGCGTGTGGCTTCCTGGTGGGCCTAAGTCACATCAACACCAACTGCTACCAAAGGGACCAAATTCTCCCTCCCATCCCTGCCAGCTATAGGTCCATAAACTGCACACCACTCCAGGAACCAGCCCCAGCCATGTCAAGTCCAAACAGAGAGCTGCAGCACGTTGCTCCACTCACTGCAAGAAGACCCTTTTTGGAGAAACTAAGGTTTGGTCTGTCACTGCTCCCTGGCTGACTCGCCATTTGACCACCTGGCTGCTGGGATCTGCACAAGGCAGATTGCTTGCGGTCATAGTGCACCTTCCATGGCTTCTGCTGACCGTCAACCCATGGTGTAAGCCACCAAGTAACTAGTAACTGGTGAAACTTGCTCAACATTACACAGCCAAAGAGTAGCAGACAAGGAGAGACCTGGATTTCCTTCCAGGCCCACTATATGTTGAGCAATACAGCACTGATCTCCAGTCTGGAAAGTCCCTTCAGACATCCCAGCTAGCTTCACTGAGGCTCCCTAATCATTCACCAAGGAGTAACAACCTTTCCACCTCTCTCAGATTAGTCTGATTCCAGCAGAGGTGAGGGGAGCTTTCCCTTTTCTGGTCCCAACAGTGATCCTGCTTTACCAAGGGGAGCAGAAGTCTACCACAATTATTGCAACTGGCCTGTTAAGACAGTAAGGGGATTTCTAGAAAGAAATAAATTGGAGTATTTGTGCAGAAGACAAGAGATCCACTGTTTCAAGTTTTTCACGCAGTTAACTCCTCAGCCCTCATGGCTAGAGAAGGTACTGGCAGAGCACTTCCTTTTTTTTGTGTCAGTTCCCCAGAAAGATCACTAAATTTGCCTCCTTGCACATATGCCCACCATTCCCTCAGACAAGCAGGCAATGGCCAAACTTCAGGAGCTTGGGCTTTTTTGCTGGTGAATCTCATTCCAGATGGTGAATGCTCATTCACTGACTTGTCTGGAAGATTCCTAGAACTCTCTACTGCTAAATATATTCAAATGTGTGTATATTTTTATGTATGTTACCAGTATCTGTGCCTTTGGTTGACCAGCTGCCACAAAACCAGTGGAAAATAATGTCAACGGAACTTTTTGTAGCCTCCATGAAAAAGATTCAGATTCGTTTTGAGCAAAATTTTGTTCTTATGACAAAGGAACTTGTGTTGTTTCTTTAAAGGAAAAAGTCTCAAATCTGAGTGCAGCCTTAAGTTTTAGAGCTGCAGTGCAGCTGGTGAGCTGGCCAGCCCCCCAAGAGAGTCTGGGCTCCCCAGGCATTGGTTGCAGGGCTGGGATACTGCTGTGGCCACAGAAGCAATACCATCCCATTCCTCCTTCAGCTTAGGATGCTTCTGGTACACCAAGGACTTGCTCTTTGCTTTGCCCAAAATTCAACAGGGCAGAGGTGGCCTAGGGCACCCAGCAGCAGTGCTACCTAGGGAGGGGTCCTGGGAGGTGTCCTTTCCAGGGGTGCATCAAAGGGTGGATGCTGGGCTGGTGGTGGGAGAGGCAAATACTCTGTACCAGGAGTAGTTTTGGAAAGGTAAGGAGGGAGGCTGCTAGAATGGAAATGGTTAACACACCTTGCAGCACTCTTTTAGGCTTCCTGATGAAAGTCTATCTGCTACACTAAAGCTTGAAGGAGTGGCCTTTACCCCCAGAGGCTGAGACAAGAAAGCCTCAGGTGTCAAGAGGCAGCCACCTACCTGTAACAAAGAGGGTGACATGGTTCTCACACAAAACAATTGAGTTCTGAGTAATTCTGAGGTGCTGAACCACACACTGGTAAGAGCCATTGTCCAGGATTTCCAGAGGGGAGATCCACAGGGTGAGATTCCTTTCATCCATCTCTGTCCGGTTCTTATACCGCGTGTCCTGGGAGATCACCTTCCCCGCGTCGTAGGCAAGCACTACCTCTGTCTTGTTCTTCTGCCAGTAGACCCGGTAATTCTTCAGGCTTTCTGAGCTGGGAATTTCATGACAACAAGGCAGGCCAACTTTTCCCCCCATTTGTCTTAAGACTTTCTTCTCCAGTGCATAGCCTGTAGGTGAGGGGCAAACAAAAGTCAGTGAGACAGTGGTATAGCCTTGTGCCAAGACCTGCTCCATAGAGCTCGCCTCTTTCAGCTCTGTCTGCACCCACGAACCCACCGCATCACCCACCAAGCTGTTTACACCTTCAGCTCTGTCCTGAGGGGAGGCCTCCCTTGGCATCCCCTTATATGTGATGCTCCAGTCCTACTTAGGATCCCAAGCTAGCAGGCACACAATGATTTCTGCATGGATTACTGAAGGTAAAGGCAGGAGTGTTACACACCTGAACAGAAATTTTGCTGGCTCCTTAAGAAACCCCACACCTCTGAGAAAAGAATTGCCCTTATTCACATAAAGGGATAAAAACATACATGCCCAAGCTGCCACCTCCTCTGCTTTCCCTTTTCAGAGATCAGTGTTTGGGAGGCCTGTGCCACCCTCCAGTGGGTTCTGTGCATGCCAAACAATGCCACAGTGGACTACTTGCTGTTTGTTTGTTTTTTTAAGGAAAAAAAACAAAACCAGAACTTTCAAGATGTGGACTTGGCAGTGTTGGATTAATGGTTGGACTTGCAGATCTTAAAGGTCTTTTCCAACCTCAACGATTCTATGATTCTATAATTCTACGGTACGATCCCAGAAGCTAGAAGCAGCCTTACAATGACAAACAAAGGTTACAGCCACACTGTCATCAGCCTCCTAGTACTAGCAAAAGAACTCTTTTTGCCTAGTCCAGCTAAAACAAATTTATATAGGTGAAGGCCCATGGGCCTCCCTTGGGATTGCTTGCAAACCAGTACAGGCATTCCCCAGCTCCTGCCCATCACCCGTAGCTAGTGCCATAGCTAGTATCCAAGCACGTGCCTACACTAACAAGCTGAGACCCTTGCAGGGGAAATTTGGTACAACCTTGGCCGGTTTAGCAGTAATCCCCCTGGTTTGCACCATGACTTCTATGCGTTCTGCCTCTGTGATCAGCCCTGCTTTCCCACTCTCTGTTCTCTTTCCAGGGGGTAGCTGCTCGTGGGGGCCAGGGACTTGTGAGGGACCAGCCTAGCAAGGATCCCCTGCCACTGCTGGAAGAGCGACCCAGTGCTGACACGTGGTCCTGTGCTGTACCAAGGCTAGGGCAAATGACTGAGCTTTCTCCTGGGGCTATGCAACATTTGGGGTGGTGCTTAGCCCTGCACACCGTTTTGCTAGCCCAGAAGGTCGGCTTTATTTACGTTTGCTCTGCTCGCCTCCTCCTCATTACCTTAGCACCCATGTCCAGTAGTGGGAGGGAGATACTAATCTGTTGTGCTCCGTTGACCCAGAGCATGAAAACAAGGAAACAGCTGGCCGCGGGGCAGAGCAGATTCATATCCTCTCTTCCTTCTCTGCAGAACAGATCTCAGTAAACACATCCGAGAGAGCCATCAGGAAAGTCCTGACCAGGCTGGGTCACTGACCGGGAGAGTGCCGCACCACCCGGCAGCGGAGGCGGGACCGCCTGTGCAGAGCCGCTGCCTGAGGCGCGAAGGGGACGCTGAGCGCAGCGGAGCCCGAGGG